TCAGGGGGCTCAGCCACAACATAGGGATTCCTGAGCCAAGGGGAGCCCAGCCAAGCCTCCACCCTGGCAACCATCCTAGACTTGGCTCGGGGACAACAAACTTCTCGAGCCAAGATCGGAAGCCAGCTCTAAAATCTGAAAGGCGCCTAGAGCCTGGCAGGCGCAAAAGCACTACACTTTGCCTCCATGTTCCACAAGCCGTAGGGAACTGTCGTCCACTTCCTCGGCTGGGCCATGCACAGGATGTGACGCATTGGGACAAGGAACTCTCCAGGTCCACAGAGTAGAGGACTCTAGGCCCACTCATTAGCCCCTTCGGGTAGGGGGATCCTTGCGTATCAAGGAAGCCACAAGAAGGCTGACCTGGGGAAGGCCGCGTCACAACAGACAGCACCTAACGGTCAAGTGCTAGACTACAACAGAGACGTCGGGGAGTGGTTGTGACGTTGTTGGCCCCCTCCTACATGACAAACAAAGGGCCTGGCGGTGCCAATACGAAGGAGACCAAAGCCCAAGGTGAGAATCCCTAGGTTAGGATCCACCCTCTTTGTACCCCAGCATGCCCTCCTCCATATATAAGAGGAGGCATCGGCTCCTGTAGAAGGCATCAAAGAAGAGGATCGGAAGATTAACAGACCGATAAACCGAACTCACTAAAGATCCTTAAGACAGCACCACGCAATGCCCTACCAATCTCTCCCTCTATTGTAAGAAACCCTCAATTGGGCATTTGTAACACGAAGAACATTATACTGCTGGACGTAGGGCTCAGAAGCCCGAACTAGAATAAATCGATTTGTGTCACTGAGTGTTTTGAGTGTCCGAGCCACCGAAGATCCACACACGACCTTTCGAACCCACGACACAACCCTCACCTACAAGACCTCAATTCATACAAGTGGTTTCAAGTCATTTGTCATATATGTGGTGTTCATAAGAAATGCAACATTGGGTACCTATAAGTGATACAATACTTGCAAGTAGTGTCAACCTTCCCGAAGCTTTGTTGCAACCCTTTTGTGGTAATTATGTATTGTCTATGGCAATCACTTTTTTGTGGTGCATTGTTGGTACCTTTTGCTAATTAGTTTTCATTATTTGTAGGTTTAAAATTTCTAGTGGAGTAGGTCCATATATATTTGCACCAGGTAAGTGCCCCTGAGTATAATCTATAACTAGATGACATGCTTGATTTATTATTAGGTCAATTGGTCATCACTAGTAGAGAAACGACTTTCGATTCGCACCTTTAGTCTCGGTTGTGTTGGGGTTCGGTATTAATGTGAGCATTAGTCCCGGGTCTAAATTTTACAGGCACGGAAGGCCCTTTTATCCCGGTTGGTAACACCAACTGGGACTAAAAACCACCCTTTAGTCCCGGTTGGTGTTACCAACCCGCGCTAAAGGTCCTCAAACCTTATCGGGACTAAATGGTGATATTTTAGTCCCCCGGACTAAAGGTCTCCCACCCGGGACTAAAGGTCCCCCATGGATTTATTCAAAAGGAGAGCGCCTAGGACTCTATCACATGTAGTGTGTAGTTGAGTTGGTAAGGGACCTACGCGCAAGGTAAGAGGTCTTGGGTTTGAATCTCACGCACCACAAGAGAGGTTTCCCATGATTTAAACTATTTTTTTAGTTCCAAGGATGGGCTTTAGTCCCATTTTCGGGACCCGGGATTAAAGGTCACGGCCTTTAATCCCGGATCCGTAGACTAAAGCCAGTTCCCAACCGGGATTGAAGCCCACCTATGCACTAGTGCATATAGGGGTACAAAAACAAAGGAGCAATTCTAGAAATGACTCAAAAATGCTCGAGCTAAACTTGATCAGTCCAATGAACCAAAGTAGCTTTATTTGACAATCTTTATGGTCAATAATGACCTTGAGACATATTATGAGAATTTGAAGATAATTCACCTACCTAGAAGTACTGACTTGAATTTTGGATCAATTCCCATGAGAGATGATAGATTCAAAAACAGCTTAGTTAGGTTGGTTCCTTTGCATAAATTTTATTGTCTTATGTATCTATCTGCTTAACTAAAAGTAACATATAATGCATCTTTGTTGTGGTTGTGAAAAGTTTATAATTCACTAGTTCAGTGTAATGCACTCTTTAATCTTATCATGATTCACTCGGTTTAGTAATTTCTGAACTAGTCATTCCTTATTGCAATTTATAGCATATTATTAGAAATAATAGCAATTGTTTCACTATATTTTTTATGTATCTTTGCTTAACTTTTGCTTTCTTGAATTTGTAGGTAGTTGAGGAATGGATGAAGCAGATCACTTCTATTTGATTGAACTATAGAAATAGTTTCTTTTCATCTCCAATCCATATTTGTGACACTGAATATATTATTCATGCTGGACATGTGGATATCATATTTGTAATATATGTAATGATAGATTTTCAATCCATATCGACATTAAGTGTTGAGGTCATTTGGAAATCAATTGTTATATGCCCATTATGTTATTTGAATCCGACCTTGTGATCCTTTATAATATGATTTGAGCTGCTATTCGAACGAATAAAATTAAATTTAAGAAATTTTCTTTGTTTCAATTTCCATATCGCTTTAGTCTTGTGGGTATTTTTTGTCTGTCCACATCGACACGGAAATGACTTTTCTAATTTTCCCGCCGGTTTTGCATCAATAGGAGGGAACTCTGTTTTCTAGTAGTGAAAAGAGCCCCAAAGAGTTTGTTTTAGCTTGTATATGGGTGTTCATTATTGTGGCTTGCATTTGTCTATGATACTAGATTGAGAGCCGTATGTGTCTAAAATGGCTAATTCTGCAGTGCGGTCCATCCCCATCACCAAATGTTGTACAGCAATACACTTCAAGTATGGCCGCTGGTGAGACTTTACTAAGCAAAGGGACTATGACTATGCTTGCTATCTAGGTGGTGGCCTAGCTATGACTATGCTCTTTCTAGGTGGTGGCCTCATGCATATGCTCACAGCTCGCTCTCATAAGACTGAGTAGTGGTTTATACAGAATGCACTGATTTACTAGGTAGAAATAAAACCGGGATCAGAACTTGAACTAACTTGGACACTGCAGCAGGTTTTGCCCACGGATATATGTTCATGCCCTGTATAAATTTCGTGTGACTGCTATGCCAGTAAAGTTGAACCCGTGTAATTAGCTAGTCGTCTAAAATTTAGTAAAACTTGATGAGACGATGTATATATTGTCTGCCTGTCTGAGGCTATATATGTTACATAAACTTATAATGCATGTATATGAGGATGTCCCATATACATGCATCGTTGCAGGCGTGCAGAGACCCACACCAGCTAGGGCTTGATTTGCTACCTATCCGGCAATCCGATCGACGAAGGGATTATACTGAAGCCATACGTTATCCCGACAGGACTATAAAAATCTCCTGCCAGAGGAAAACGACGAGTTAGCCTCTCCCTATATAGTATATACTAATCTAAAGGTATCATCAGAATATAATGAATTTTTAATATACTTCATAGTTCATATCATGTGTATGATTTCGTCAGGGTAAACCATTTGTTGTTATTTCGGGATGGTCCATTTCAAGTCCGACGGCGTCGTCCTTTCAATTAAAACACACCATGCAACAAACTAATAATCTCGCGCAAAATGCCACCTGCAAAGTAATATATCTTTCCGTTTTCTAATATACTTGTGTTGCTACTCGCAATTTTGTTATAAAGAAATGTTATGTTTGCTTTGGTACCGCATACGCGCGTACTATTCTGGTTCCGTCCGGTCATCTCCCTGCTATCAAAGAAAACCCGTACGTGGCCCGTGTGCACTAGTACGTGCCGGACTGCAGGCCTTCTCAAAGTAGGTAATCGTGTTTTCTGAATTCAGTCATAAATATCAAATGCACAGTAGGAGTACATCGCATACATCGTCTTTAATTCATGGAGAAAAAGGTGGTGAGGAGACAAAAGAGTCGCTTGTTGCCGCGGTCTCGCGGTCGCGGGGAAGCATTTCTCTCTTTTCTTTGCTTCTTTGCGTTGCGTGGGCGGGGGAAGTACTTGGCTGGATGCAGTCGCTGACTCGCTGTTGCATCAGTGGTCTCACCACAGACACAGGCGGACAGGCCCTGTCCTAGATCCCTGAGCAACAGCTACCAGCTCGTGGTCTCGTGGAGTTGGGGGGGAGGTGACTGGAGCCTGGCACTGCCACAGCAGCAGCCAGTAGCGTTCCAGCCTGTGTTCGCTTGGTGCAGGTGCAGCTGCAGCATAAATATGGTGTGCGCCACAGCGCCAGCCCCAGGCGCAGGGGCAACCGAGCCGGTGAGGATGAGGAGGCCGTCGCAGTCGAGAGCAAAGATAGCAAGGGGGCAAAAATAATAATAAAGCGTGAGGGGCCAGGACCAGGAGGGACCCGCGACCCCATACGTGAACAGTGTACTACAGCACTAGATGCCCCGCACTTTCGGCTCCATCGGGCGCGCAACAAATGACATTTGTACGCCATGCAACTACCCGGCAATCATGGTCGTTCGTGAATCCGTGACGGCACTGGCCACTGGGCCCTGCGCAGCACAGCGGCACTGCCCATTGGCCATTGCCCAAGCTCTGATTACAGTTCCTCGCAGCATTCAAGCTGCCTTGCTTGCCCCTTTCCATGCATTGGCAGTACCAGGCAGGCTGTCCTATATAAAGTGATGTTTTCATACACAGCATTTATTTCATATGGAACTAAAAAGAAGAGCAGGCAAAGAATCAGTTAAGGAAATACAAATAGAGCAAGAAGCATGGAGCCTCGGAGTGAGACGATAGGAGGCAAGTAACTAATAAAAGGAGGATGCAAAAAGGGAACTCTCGGCATTTTTTCTAAATCAAGGTTGCTTTGCAGTATTTGAACTGGTCTTACTCAAAATAAAAAAATTCAAATCGAAATACCAAAAATTTTAAAATGAAAATCAGGAACAATCGCTTTCAGTGAAACCAGACCCACAGATTGGGTCAGCTGGCTGCAGTTCGGTGATGTGTGCCTAGCGAATCTCTCCGTTTGCTATTGTCTTGACCTTGCAGACTCCAGCCGAGGTAGTGAAGGGCACATCTTTGTAGCACGCCACGAGCTCACCGTTGCTGTGCAGCTCGGCGGCCAGCTTCTCCCACGTCTTGCTCTTGCCACTGATGGAAGCCTCGGGCTCCCCCGAGTACCCAGCAAAGGTAACACGCTCCCCCACGGCAGCAGATTCGGGTGGCTCCACCAACTCAACCTTTACAGCGAGAGCAAGCATAAACCGAAATCAAAATGACTGGTACTGCCTTACATTGATGATTTCCAGTTGAGGGCTTAAATAAAATGGTTACGTGTAAAGTTTATTGGATATGAAGGTTAATATAGATGTCTCACCTTCGTGTGGTCCTCATTCGATGCAGCCAAAACCATCGCATGTGATTTTATACCACGCATTGCCACCGGTTTCAGATTGCAGAGTACGCAAACTTTCCGGTTCTGCTAATCCATAACAGATGCTAAGTGATACAAGGCATCAAAAGACAGTATCTAGAAAGTTCAAAATGATGCTTAGAAAGGGCAACCTGCATTTCTTCAAGAGGTATGAATTTGACAAGGCCGCTGACCACCGTTCTTGGTGCGTCCTCTCCAACATCAATCTCCTCCACGTAAAGGGAATCAGCATCTGGATGCTTCTCTGCTTTTCTGATAAGCCCCACTCTAATATCCAATTTTGCAACCGTAATGTCAGCCTCAGCTGTCTTCGATTTTGAGCCACCAGATTGTTTCTTTGGTTCCTTTTTTGTTCCTCCATCTGAAAGACACGAGAGGAAAACTAAACAATGACTCGTTGAAATTTGGAAATAGCTTTGCAGAATATAATCCAAATAGGAGTCAAATCGCTTCAAACAGAAAAAGGTTGCAATCTGCCATGGAAACATGTGTTAAGTAATCTGCTGCTCCCTGTATGCGCGGCAGGGGCAGGCGCCGAAAGGGCTCCCCTGTCGCACTGTAAGCCACAGCAGGATAGGCGTCAAAGCCAAAGGCTGTCACATCTAGTCATTGTAGCAGCATGACATGTATACGTGTATTAGGATTAGATGGATAGAGTTGTATATAAGTCAGTCCCAACTGTCACATCTAGTCATTCAGTTTTACTAGAAGAATGACAGCCGCCATGATGCATGTCTGTGTATTAGGATTAGATGGGTAGAGTTGTATATATAGTTTCTCACTGCAACTCAGTAAAGAGAGCGAGTTCAGTTTTACGAGGACCAACAAGTGGTATCTCTGCACAAGCCCGCAACCAACACCGGTGCTTGTGTTGACAACGGCATGTGTGTGCTGCTCATTCTCCATCCTTCTTCTACCTCTAGCCATAGTGTGTGGTCGGCGAACACTCGCACCAACTATGCATGTGTGTGACCATTCTCCATCCCTTCTTCTACCTCTAGCGAATAGACGACATGTCGTTGGAGGCTAACACCGGTGAGCAGTACAAGGCTCACCCGTGTGAAACATCCAGGGACCACCCTCAAGTTCAAGAATGGTGAATCGGTGGGGACTTCTCCCTCGCACGCCACCCTCAAGTTCAAGAATGGTGAATCGGTGGGGACTTCTCCCTCCGCCTGCAGTCGCTCATCAGCAAGCTGAGAAGCCACGGCGTCACCATCGACGAAGAAGAGGCGGTCTCCAAGTACCTCCACTCTGTGCCGGTGAAGTACATTCAGATCGCTCATTCCATAGAGACGATGTTGGACTTGTCCACCCTCACCATTGAGGATGTGACAGGCCGTCTGCGGACGGTGGACGAGCGCATGGAGCAGGCCACAGCAACGAGGGACAGCGGCAAGCTGCTGCTGACAGAGGAGTGGGCTGCCCGGAGGAACTCCGGGGAAGCCTCCTCCAGCCGCGGTGTTGATGGCAAGCATCGCGGCAAGACTTCTTCGGACAAGAAGAAGAAGGTCGACCCCAACGCCTGCCAGCGCTGCGGGAAGACGGGCCATTGGGCAAATGGGTGCCCAAATCGCAAGCAGGAGAAGAAGGTTGAGGCTCATCTGGCACAGACCGATGATGATGATGAGGCCACTCTCCTGATGGCGACGTTCTGTGCACTGCACGACGTTGAGGCCAAGGAGAAGGAAGAGGTAATGGCGGTGAAAGGGCCTGGGAAGGCTCTGAAGGCTGTCAACCTCGACGAACCGCGCGCCCAAGTTTACCTCGCATGTGTGGGCGGTGGACAGAAGCAACGGTGGTACCTGAACTCCGGCGCCAGCAACCACATGACGGGCTCCAAGGCAACCCCTTCTCCGAGCTCGACGGTGACGTGATCGGCACGGTGAAGTTCGATGGCGGCTCAAGGGTGGCGATACGAGGGCGCGGCACCATCATCTTCAGTTGCTAGAAGGGTGAGCATCGCGCACTGACGGATGTGTACTACATCCCGCAGCTGCGTTCAAGCATCGTCATCATCGGCGCTGGACGAGCGCAGATGCGAGGTACTGATCGAGAGCGGAATCCTGAGGATTCGGGATCGGGAGCGGCGTCTTCTCACGAAGGTAAAACGCTCACGTAATCAATTGTACCTGCTCGACTTGAAGGTGGAGCAGCCGGTGTGCCTGGCACCACGACACACCAAGGAGCCGTGGCTGTGGCATAACCGGTTTGGCCATCTCAGCTTTGAGGCGCTCGGTCGACGGGAGAAGATGGTCCGAGGGCTGCCCCACATCAAGCACGCAGGCGAGCTGTGTGACAGTTGCCTGGCCGAGAAGCAGAGGAGGCTGTCGTTCCCAAAGGCGGCCAAGTATCGCGCGACGGATGCTCTCGAGCTCGTCCACGGCGATCTCTGCGGGCCAATCACGTCAGACACAAACGGTGGTCGACGGTATTTCCTCCTGCTCGTGGATGATTGCAGTCACTATATGTGACTGCAACTCCTGACGAGCAAGGACGAGGCGGCGGAGGCAATCAACAAGTTCAAGGCACGCGCGGAGGCAGAGAGCGGCAAGAAGCCGCGCGTGCTGCGGACTGATCGCGGCGGCGAATTCACTTCGGTGGAGTTCGTTGCGTACTGCGCGGATCAGGGTGTGGTGCGACACCACACCGTGCCGTACTCGCCACAGCAGAATGGCGTGGTGGAGCGGCGAAACCAGACGATGGTCGGCATGGCTCGATCCATGATGAAGGCCAAGAGTATGCCGGCAAGGTTCTGGGGTGAGGCGGTGTCATCCTCAATCGCGCGCCCACAAAGGCCCTGAAGGGCGTGACGCCGTCGAAGCTTGGTATGGGTGCAAGCCGAGCGTGTCCTTCCTCCGGACATTCGGCTGCATCGGCCACGTCAGGAAGATGAAGCCAGTCCTCACCAAGTTGGAGGACAGGAGCACACCAATGGTGCTCCTGGGCTACGCGGAAGGTACCAAGGCGTACCGACTCTACAACCCACACGGAGGCAAGGTGATTGTCAAGCGCAACGTCGTGTTCGACGAGAAGGCGGCCTGGGACTGGAACAGTCCAGGCACGGGGGAACCTGGTGGCTTCACCAGCACCTTCGTCGTCGAGCACTTGGTCATCCACGATGGAGACGCTGGAGAGGTGCCGACCAATCCAGCAACATAGCCGAGCACTCCTGGGGTGGTGCCGAGCACCCCAGGAGTGGTGCCGAGCGGTCCTACAGTGGCGCCGACCACTTCAGGACGGGTGCCGAACGCTCCCGTAGCGGAGCCGAGAGGTCTTGCAGTGGTGCCGACCACTCCAAGACTGGTGCCGAGCACTCCTGCAGTGGTACCGACCACCCCAGGAGTAGTGACGAGCGGTCCGGGAATAGTGTCGAGCACTGCAGCCGAGGTACCGAGCACTCTAGGTGTTGTGCCGACCACTCGGACGGAACAGGGAACTCCATCAACGTCGATCGAGTTCGTCTCACCTCCAAGCGACATCACTGAGTTCGTGGATGCCTTCCACGACGGTGAGGAGGTGCGGTTCCGCAGGCTGGACGACATCGTCGACGGCATAGGGTCCTCAGGCCTGGGGGGTCGGTTGCTCAATGACCCAGAGCTGCTTCTCGTCAGTGCAAAGGAACCACCCACATTCGCGCTCTGGCCAAGCGCGATGCAAATTGGCGACGGACGATGCTGGAGGAGATGAAGGCGATCGAGAAAAACGAGACTTGGGAGCTCGTCGATCCACCTCCAGGATGCCGTACGATCGGCCTGAAGTGGGTGTACAAGGTCAAGCAGGACGAGCACGGCGCCATTGTCAAGCACAAGGCGTGCCTCGTCGCCCGAGGCTGTGTCCAGCGCGAGGGCATCGACTTCGAGGAAGTCTTTGCGCCGGTAGCGCGCATAGAGTCTGTCTGACTGCTGCTGGCTTTGGCAGCAGCGAAGGACTAGCGCGTCCATCACCTGGACATAAAATCGGCCTTCCTCAACGGCGAGCTAGCGGAGATAGTCTTCGTCAGGCAACCTCCGGGTTTCGCCGTCAAGGGAGCGGAGCACAGGGTGCTCTGACTGCGCAATGTGCTCTACGGGTTGCGGCAGGCCCCACGAACGTGGAACGCCAAGCTTGACGCCACGTTGGGCGAGCTTGGGTTCACGCGATGCGCAACCGAGCACGCGCTCTACACGCGGTGACGGGGGAAGGAGGAGCTCGTCGTCGACGTGTATGTGGACGACTTGATCGTCACCGACGCGCGTGCGAAGGACATAGACATCTTCAAGCGAGAGATGGCGGCTCGTTTTCGAATGAGCGATCTCGGCGCGCTCTCCTACTACCTCGGCATCGAGGTGAGACAGGGGAAGGAGGCGCTCATGCTCGGTCAGAGCGCGTACGCCTCGAAGCTGTTGGAGCGGAGTGGCATGGCTGAGTGCAAGCCGTGTGTGACTCCAATGGAGGAGCAGCTAAAGCTAACGAAGGCCAGTACCGCGGCGAAGGTAGATACAACACTCTACCGGAGCATCGTCGGTAGTCCGCGCTACCTAGTCCATACGAGGCCGGACATTGCGTTCGCCGTGGGCTACGTCAGCCTCTTCATGGAGGATCCCCGAGAGGATCACTGGGCTGCAGTAAAACAGCTGTTGCGCTACGTCAAGGGGACGGTGGATCAGGTGATCGTCTTCCCCAAGACCGGCGGAAGTAGGCTGTAGCTCACTGTGTTCAGCGATGCAGACTTGGCAGGGGACATCGACGGATGGCGGAACACCTCTGGCGTGCTCGTCTTCCTCGGGTCGGCTCCAATCTCATGGCTGTCGCTGAAACAGAAGGTGATGGCGCTGTCCACGTGAGAGGCAGAATACGTGGCAGCGGCCACAGCGGCGTGCCAAGCTGTGTGGCTACGCCGGCTGCTGGGCAAGCTGACCGGTGTGGAAGCTCACCCACCAGCACTGATGGTGGACAACCAGCCCGCCATCGCCCTCGCGAAGAATCCGGTTCTCCACGACCAGAGCAAGCACATCGACGTCAAGTTCCACTTCCTCAGGGACTATGTCGATGGAGGGCAGATCGTCATCGAGTTCGCAGAAACTGGTCGACAACTCGCGGACGTTCTCACCAAGCCGCTCGGCCGCCTCCGGTTCATGGAGCTGAAGAAGATGATCGACATGGTGGAGGTTCTAGGGTTAGCAGCAGGATTAGGAGAAAAATTGTTAAGTAATCTGCTGTTTTCCTGTATGCACGGCAGGGGCAGGCGCCGAAAGGCTCCCCTGCCGCAATGTAGCCACAGCAGGAGCAGGCGCCAAAGTCAGCCCTGCTGTCACATCTAGTCACTGTAGCAGCATGGCAGCCTGACATGTCTATGTACTAAGATTAGATGGATAGAGTTGTATATATAGTTTTCCATTGCAACTCAGTAAAGAGAGCGAGTTCAGTTTTGCCATCTCCTCTGCAAAGCTCCGGCCAACGCTGGCGCTTGTGCTGTGTGTGTGCGCACTCTGTTCTCCCTCCCTTCTTCTACCTCTAGCCATAGTGTGTGGTTGACAACACTGGTGAGCGGTCGGCTCACCCGTGTGGAAGATCCAGGGGCCAACAACATGCACTCCAATCGTAGTAGTTTAAGGAAATATGAGTACATGATACACCGATGAATAGCATGGCAAAAAGGATTTTTCTGTTTGTCCCCATATGTGCAACGAAAAAGAGCAGTTTCTCCATATGACCCTAGCCAGCATAAGAAGAATAAATACGAATGTCGAGATTAATACCAGATAATTTTGTGCCCTTGAGCTTGTTAGCAACTTTGTTGGCTTCAGCATCAGCTGCTGCTTTTGAGCTTCTCTCAGTTTGACTCCCTGCATAATTTTCTCTGTGGAGAGCTACATCTTCATCTTTCTGCATCCAAATATCAAGTTAAGATATGTAAAATTATAGCCAAGTGATGAAAATATTTCTGAAAAAGCAAAGACGCACCAATTCCTTGAACAGAGGTGCGGGCTTCCCTATTTTGTGACCTGCTGGTACAAAATCCCAAGGAGTTTTTGCCTCTGCAATTTCTCCCTTTTCTTCACTTAATGACAGATTTTCTTCTGGAGATAAATTTAATTGACGCAACACCTTTGCAAAAGGATCGCATCATGAGATTCAAGTGAAAAACATTAGTCCAATTAAGTCAGACAAGATACAGTGATAACTAGGATCATACTTCTTCAGAAAAGGAAGGCATGAAAGGCTCCAGAAGACAGGCAAGCAGGTAGACAAGACCAACTGAAGTTTTCATCACGATCGCACATGATGCAGGATCTTCCTTGTAAAGTTTCCAAAACTGGCTCTCCTACATTGATTAAGCAACAAGAGATAACTAAAAGTCGGTATAGTCTACAGGGGAAAAACTAAACAAAAACAAAGGCAGAACGAGATTTACTTGCAGATACGCATTTCCATCACTAGAAATGCCCATTGCACTCTTCAGTCCTTGTTTCAGTTTAACCTGTCATGAAGAGACACAATTTTATAAAACCTAGCAGTTTGCACGACTATAGATGGCTAAACATGCAGTGCTGGAACTGTTCTGTCAATAGTTCAAAATAAGCTACCTTTTCCATTGCATCGAGATATTGCTCAACCCATTTACTGGTTTTTTCTGCAAGTGTCTTTGTCAATGTGTGTGTGCCCGCATTAGGAGCATCGGGTACAACAGAACCATATCCAGCTCCTACAGAAACAGAAATGTCAAATCTTCTATAACTAAATAGGTGTCCCCATTAGCTTATTTTCCTGGCTTCTCCTTAAGCCACGTCATCCAACCCGGGTCCCACGTTCACAGGTCGCTCCGCATGCTCTTCCATTCGTGTTTACAACTCAGGCGTCGCTGGCTCTACCTCTTCAAACTTGGTATGGGAAAGGAATACAGTAGTCGTTTCTGTCCGTTAGTCTACCTCTGTCTGCTCCACTTCCCCCATCGTCCCTCCCAGCACTCAGATATTTTGCTGCCTCCTGTGCTTCGCCTCCACTTCCCAACAAGTCTGCAATGGGAGAAGCATATCAGAGGGAACAAACGCCTGCACACCCAGGGGCACCGTCGACGACACGGCCCGTGAGCACCACATGTGGGGGGGGCATTCTGGCAAGCACCACCATCATCGCCTACTGCAAAGGAGAAGCTTCAGCAAGGCGGCAGCTGTCCCCGCCGATGTCGTCTCCTAGCCTTGACTGGTGGCTCCGTGGCAGGCAGGTGGGGCTCATCACTAGTGCCACTGCTGCATACTGCGACGGTGAGTTCAGCGGCTCACGATTCCTACCACCATGGCGTGAGACCACGCTCTCCTCGAGAAGCAGGCGACCGGCACGGCCTATTGTTACAAGGAGCACTACTCGCCGCCTCGTGATGGGTTGCTCTCTACGAACACCGCAGCGCCGTGCCCGCCATGTCGTTGGCAGGATACTTGAACCGTCTGCGGTTGTCTTTCTGACTGCTATTGCACGCCATGTCGTTGCCATATAGAAGTATACAAAGTCCATGTTGGCAGCGGCGGCGGCAACTTGAACGCTGCCGTCAGATATAAGTGGTCCGGTGCACAACATGGATTACATGGAGGTGGAAGCGCGTGGCAGCTTCAGCGAGCTGGAGACCACAAAGGGAAGAGGAGGGATTCGGTCATGGGAGGAATGAGAGAGATCGTGATCAGGCTGGCATATTGTGGATATGGTAGGACAGTTCAATCATTCCTCTTTCTTTTTTCTATTTGTTTTTTTTTACTTTAAAAGTTAAAAGATGTTTTTAATCTGTACAACGCTACAAAATCCCCGCAGCAACGCGCGGGGTATCATCTAGTAAGAACAATGATGAATCACGGATGATTAATCTATCAATAGATAATCCTCGTACACATAAAAATGTATGATTCAGACTGTGACTAACCAGCTGGTTTTGCAACAAAACTTAGAACACGATTAATGAAGTTCCCCAAGTTGTTCAGCAACTCGCTGTTCAATTTTGCTTGCAAATCAGCCCAAGTAAAGAGTGTATCTGATGCCTGAGTAAATCAGATCAAACATGTTACTGTCAAAAAGCTGTGTGTACTATCATAAACTTGAACATCACAACCTTCTATACTGACCTCAGGGCGATTCATAAGCAAGTAGTATCGCCATACTTCAGGAGGAATATTTGTATCCTTTGCATCATTACCAAAGACTCCAATACCTTTACTCTTGGAAAATTTTCCTACAGATACAATAATTTCCATGCAAGACGTGTATGCATATACATCAGAATCTTTTTTTACGAAGCACAAACAAAATTGAAAAGCACATTGGACAGTAGTGAATCAGCCATGCTCCTATACGATATTGATCAGAAATAATGGCTAAATAGACATTGTATAGTGCGTACCACTACCATAAATGCATTTAACAAAACTCGACGACAGGAGTAGGGGGGGGGCGGCATTGCAGTAAGTTGTACCAAGACTCGAACGCAAACCGACAAGGGTAGACCCCCCAAGCACACTGCTCTAACCGGTATAACTCCCGAATTTACATCAGAATCAATTTTGTGAAGCACAAGCAAAATTCAAAAGCACATTGGATCATAGCGAATCAGCCATGCTCCTATGCAGTAGGCCATTTAAGAGAAACCATGTAAAATATATTTATCAGAAACAATGTTTAAATTGGTAGCTTGGTACAACTGTACAACAAACGAAGACTATGAGAAGCATGTCTGAAGGCAAAAGCAAGAACAGCAAGGAGAATGAAAAACTACAGTTTTTTGAACGGGAAATACAGCAGGGGAAGCCCCCACTGTAGTATTTTATTTAATTTTAAAAAGATAAACAGAAACCTGTACAAAGAGAGCGAATATACAACAAACCAACCAGCCGGAGGGCTGAGGTAGCCACAGCAGGAAGGGAACCGCAGGCCCAAAGCCAGGGAGGTCTAAGAGAGAAGATCTAAACAGAGGAGAAAAGCTGCACGTTTGTCATCTCTCATTCTAAAAGCTTAGTTTGGCCTCTTCACAGAAGAGGTTTTTCCAAGAAGAGAAAGAAGGCCGGCCTCTATCAAATATGAAGTTGTTTCTCTGCTTCCAAATATGCCAAGCAGCAATGATGAAGGTCTCCATGAAGAAGGGATTTTGGTGCTGCTGTTTTGATTGTATCATCATTTGAATGAAAAACTACAGTAATTTAACATATCAGGCAATTTTGATGCATAAGCACAAATCCAGCTTCATGCCACTATTTTCTTGCACCACAAGTTCAATGAGGAGTTAAACAACCAAATGGGAAAATGGTTAGTATTTAGTGCAAACAAAACAAATTTGGTTTTATCAAAAGACCAAACATCTTCCCAAGACCAGAGGAACTCCACTTAAAATAAACAAATACTGATGACCCACATGAACTGAGCATGAATCAACATTAGGTAAGAAATATGTGACCACCATATCACGTACCTGCTTCATAATTTAAATATTCAGTAACACTTATCGTCTTCATCATTGTCCACTTTTCCCCAGTTCCAATTAGCGTTGAAGGGAACATGATCTAAAAAGAGCATTTCATCAAATAAAAACTTGATCCAAAATGAGAGAAAAAACTGCACTAGTCATAAGTGCCATCGACAAACTTAAAAGCATGGGCACTTTTTTTGTTCAAATCCTTAATTGGGTCCTGGAATCTAAGGTACAGTAAAATACCCTTAATGATAATAAAGAATTGAATTTGATCAATTATAGAACAAAATTGAACAAAGACTGGTCAACCATTCACTTTCAGCTAGAATTTAGAATTTAATATGCACGCTATGTTATATGTCGAAACCCAACCAAACTGTACCCAAAGTATGGGAATCTGTACTGAGCAATTACTTTTCATAGCTGTGATAAACCTTGAAGCTATAGTAACATCATGAAAGGGCAAAAGGATCTCGTTATTTTTAGAGATCCTGTCATGCCAAAACAATATCAAAGTTTGAAAAAACTGCTGCAATGGCATAGTCATTTTACCGTGTGAAATGGCACATTATCTTTGCCCATAAACTGAAACAATTCTACATTATCAGGATTCTTCCACCACTTCTCCCACTCAGGTGTATAAGATGCCGTAATAGACACATAGCCAATAGGTGCATCAAACCAAACATAGAACACCTGAAAATAATCAAAATGAGGAAACTGGATAATCCAGTAAATGCAGAAATGCAGAATTTCTATGCCCAAACCTTGTCTTTATACTTCTCGTGAGGAACAGGAACACCCCATTTAAGATCTCTGGTGATGCAGCGTGGCTTTAGCCCTTCCTTCAGCCATGCATTTGTTGCTTGAATAGCATTTTGACTCCACAAACCAGCAACTGAAGTTTCATTGATGTAGTTTACCAGCTTGTCTCTCAATAGAGGAAGCTCTAAAAATAAGTGATCCGTGTCACGAATACGTGGAGTATTCTTACAAAGCTACACGGAAAGTCACAAGACAAGAAGGCAATTTATAATTCACAATTTTATGATACATTATACGTTTAAATCAATTATTGTGACAGAGACAAACATGGCAGAGCACAGTAAGTACTGTACATGCTTACCTTGCACTTTGGGTCAATAAGATCAGTTGGATTCAACAAGGTGCTGCATGTTTCACACTGATCTCCTCGTGCTGATGCGTTGCAGACTTTGTTCGGGCATGTTCCTTCAACAAGCCTATCGGCTAAAAATTTTTGGCACGTATCGCAGTAAAGCTGCAAAGCATGTAAAACTCGTATAACAGAAACAACATACAAAGATAAATATACAAGTACAACGCCATGAATAAGTTATACCTGCTGCATAGTATTTTCTGTGAGCCAATTATTTTCCATCAATTTATGGAAAATTGCATGGCAGACTTCTGTCTGCTCAGGAGAAGATGTCCGCCCAAACTTGTCAAATTTTATGTTAAACCACTTATAAACTTCATTGTGGATAGCATGGTACCTACATTTTTCAGAAGGGAAAGCTTCTTATGAAGAAAGCGAATTTTTTTATTATGTAATATAAGCATGTTTGCAAGAAATGGATATAGCAAAGCACAACTGGAACATTTATGTGTAAGTTACAAAACAAAGTAAATACAGTGGATATCATAGAAGTCCAATTTTTAAAGATATGGAAGATATATAATTGATGAACTCTTAACAAAATTGCAGCATTACATGCATTCAGCATTTCCAGATTGAACACACACAACAAAAATCGCATGATCAGTAATTAAGTTATCAACCAGACAGACAACTTCTTCCTCTGATCCCAAATATAGGTCGTTTAGAACAGGGGGACAGGGGCACGGTCTTCAATGTAACGCTTTGACTTGTAATTTGTTAAAATATACTATTTGAAACAGGGAAGATTATATGAATGTATTTTCCATAATGAATATAGTAACATCAACCACATGTTGTAAATCTATGCTAATTTCATTTTCATATACTAATGGTCCATGTTAAGAAAGTCTTACTGCATAGAATCCTAAAACAATCTACATTCGGAATCAGAGGTAGTATTCCATAAATCAAATCATTCAACAACAGAAATCGAGGCATTAACTAGCTAATGCACCGCTAGTCCTGTTCAATGTGATTCAGGAAAAGTCCAACCAAAATTCAACGATAGAATCAGTTTAAGCAAACAAATCAACTGATATGCGAATAATTTATCATTTTGGCTCACAAGGAGCAGCTTAACAGACATTATGAGAAGTTAACAAATTCTCTTGCCATGGAGTGCAGGCAGTTGCATGACGAATCGGGGCTCAGGCAGGCATTGGGACCAAGCCAGCAAGGCCTGGCCTTCTATCAAGACTGAACTGTCAGACGCCTGCCCGAGCGCCAAAAATAAATAACTGAAATATGGTATACATGCTTTGGACAGATAAATGCTTAAACTAAATTTAAGCATCTGTCAAATGATTAGTTCCATTGTAGGCTAGGACTATTGTAGAGAAGCTTAAGGCTGTGACATTTGTTCTCTCTTTAAGAGGCCACATAAACATATTTGCATTGTACACACCCTAAGTCCCTGCTTATTAGCTTACTATAGTTCTCAAGTATCATAGCTGCACATTAACAGAATTTCGTTCTACTGCAACCTCATAACACTAAAATTCTAGACCACACATGAGGAATTTCCAACTCATTTATGTCACATACAGATTCGGAAAATCCACCCACTCCGTCAGGTTGCACTGAAGCTAAACCCCAAATCAGACAGCTCGAGAGGAATTAAACCAAACCAATTTCTCAACAAGTAGTAGGAAAGATGATGACGAATAGAGGCGTGCTTACTTGTCGCAGATCTCCTTGGGCGTGCACTTCTCTTCCATGGCCTTCGTCTCGGTGGCAGTGCCATACTCGTCAGTCCCGCATATGTAAATAGCGTTGTATCCCCGGAGCCGGCAGTATCGCGCGAACACGTCGGCGCTGAGCACACCTGCGCACACGACCATCGAATTGAATCCCCATCGGACGGAAAACAGAGGAGGGAGAGAAACGGATGAGAAAAATTGGGGGCCGGCGGGTGCTCACAGCCGATGATGTTTCCGAGGTGGGGGACGTTATTGACATACGGAAGTGCGCTGGTGATCAGTATGTTGCGGCGGCCGGGAATCGGCAGCTTCGGCGGCGGCGGCGGCGGCGGCGGCGGGGACGACGCCATCGGGATAGAAGGGTTTAGGGTAACACAGGAGGGTTCGTTGTGCGAGACTGCGAGTGGGTCACTCTGTCTCGTCTCAAGCCTAGACCCGTTAAACGTTCTGGCCCTCTGGCCACGGGTCCCACCTGTCAGGAATAGCTCGAATCGTAAAGCATCCTCTGATGCTATGCTCTGCCGCGGCCGCGGCACGGGCGCTACCGCCGTCTGCCCGACTGCCCCCAGCTCGCCGCCGCCGTCCACGGCGGCTCCGACACCTGGGCGTAATCGATGACTCAATCCTACCGATCAGAAGGGAATAAGATGCAGCTAGCTAGGGCTACCTTTGTTTGTGGGTAAGTTTTAGCAACTTCTGAGTTGCAGTTTGCGTGTTTTGACAACCAGTTCGTTTATTTGGGCTGCCGAGTGCCGACTCACAGCGGCTTTTGGTGCTTCGATTGCGTGTTTTGTCATCCAGGGAACTTTGAGCATTTCAGGACAGAGAAGATATCAACTCTGAATATCTTGCTGGTTGGTAATATCTGTGTGCGATTAATCCCGCTGTGCAGTGTCCTTCTAGTTTGAAGCATAGTCACAAAGTTTCCAGATAGACCGGTCGATGAACGAAATCAAAGAACGTGCTTTACCAGAGGTTTTTACATGGTCGAATCAAAAATGATGCCGCGTACTCAGAACAAAGATGACATTTCTTGGTCGACGGTTGATGCCTTAGATCTCATTCTCAGTGACTATAGTTTGAAGAAAATTTGGTTGTGGTTTGATCATACCGATCAAGGATTTATAACTGAAACCTGAAGAATTTCAGACTCAGCTCAACATTTTGCGCGACTGTTGTGTTTGAATTTGCCAGTATACCATCATATAGTTTTGTGTTGCTTTTCAGATGATGGGCTTTAACCAGGAATTGAAAGCATTTAATACAGAGGACTTCAAGGTTTTGATGCAGGCGTCCACAACAAGGTACTGTTCACTTATCCTCTTATGACTCCAAGGGCACTTCGTTCAGTCTTCGGTACCTTCAAAAGCTGCTTAATGAACTTCACTTTATTCTTTGTTGTTGAAAAAGGGAACTGTCAAAGATAACAACAGAGGCTTTTGTGAAACTGAAACAACTATAAAAGATTATGTTTTAATTTGTATCATTTTGATGAAAGTTATCTAAGAGAAGTGCGGAAGAGGAGTGAGCTGTAATCCAGCAAAATGGTCGTGGCCTCTAGAAAAGGAGCATATTATGTGACATCAACTAAGAGCATCTTCGAGATTTTCCAATAAAGCCTCACAGTCTAACAATTTTAGCAAGAATAGAAAAAACATATCTCCAAAAGTTTTCAATCCCACCTTTCAATCTGTTGGGACTTGGAAAAATAGTCTTTCACGCGCGCATCGGTCTCCCAATCTATGGTGGAAGGACGTAGGAAAGAATAAAGAGTAGAAAAAAGTTCTTATACAAATATACAAGAAAGAAAAATATATAAAAGTGGTTAGAATAATTTAGAAATAGGCAAATTTTGCTGAAGGACACTGCAAAAAACTGTAATTGGCTGGCACACACCGCAACGGCGAGTCTTTGCCCAGTACCATTACAAATTCGTGGTTATTTACCGGTGGACACCGTGCTGAATATTTTATTCATTTCTTAGTTTGAGGAGAGAGAAGGTGAAGGAAATGACTTTATTGCCCTCGTCTTCAACCTCTGGCTGTGCACTAATTTTTGCCATAACACACCGCCACCGCCTTCACTTGCCTCTGCCGTGAGCTACGGCCGTGGCCTAGTGTCGCTGGCGCTTTTCCTCGCCGCGCCTTTGCCAGTCGGCCGCCCGAGCCTCCCAGGCCCCGTCCCGGCTCTTGGTCCATGATCGTGCCCCTGCCAAGCCACGCACGCCGGAGCCGCACCTCGCCTCACAACCGGAGCTGCACCTTGCCTCGCCGCTTAGCGCGGGGGAGATGTCGCACCTGCCACTCAATCTGGGCACAAAAAATCAAAAACCGAGAACCAAACCGAACTAACCGGAACCGGAACCGAACTAACCGAAACCGAAATATTCGGTTCCAGATTCCCAGGAACCGAAATTATTACGGTTAATTCGGTTCTAGGACTCGGTTAACCGAAATGACCTAAAATAACCGAATTGAAGCTGAGCTCTGCCTCTACGCTCGTTGATGGCCGTGGCCCAAAGAATACAGCCCAGCCCAAGGTAAACCCTAAGTCCTCAGCGAGTCAGCGGTCACTCACTCACTCTCCTCAAGTCCTCGGTCACTCTCTAGTCCCCACTCCCAATCCCGCCGCCACCGCTCCCCACTCCCTCCTCGGCTCCTCGTTACCCCGCAGCGCGCGGCCCCTCCCCTCCGATCCCATTGCTTCCTTCCCCGACGACCGGGCAAGATGGCCCTCGCTCCCCCCCCCGCGCCTTGTGACAAGCGGTGGCGAGGCGAACTGTGGGACGGCGCTCCTACTCCTTGGCCCGACCCGCGGCGCTCCTCCTCCTTCCCCACCCCGATAGTCGCGCGCAGCGGGCCAGCCCTGCCTCCTTCCCTACCCCGGTGACCGACGACGTGGCGGCGTGCGTGCACGTGTCATTGCCGCTTCCTTCTCCCCGGTGGCCGGGCGATGGCCTCGCGCTTCCCCCCCTGCGCCAAGAACAAGCATGGCGAGGCGAATCATGGGCGGCGCTCCCCGCTCCTTGGCTCGACCACAGCGCGCTCCTCCTTCCCCACGATCGATAGGCGGCAATGTTGCTGGCCAGCCTGCCTCCTTCCCTACCCCGGCGACCGACGCGGCGGTGCGTGCCCGCTGGCCGCTGCTTCCTTCTCCCCCCGGCGATCGACGCCCATGTGCACGGCGGAGGCGAATGGATCTACATCTTCTATTTTTTTATTGATTTTGGTCATCGATCTATGTATTTTCTGGATGTTCAATTTAGAATCGGTTACTTCGGTGATAACCGAAAAGAACCGAAACCGAATTGCTCGGTTCTCACTTTTCAAAAGAACCGATCGGTTAGCAGTTCTAGGTAACCGAATTTACTATAAAACCGAAGAACCGAATCGATCAGTTTCGGTTAACCGAATGCCCAGGCTGACCTGCCACTGGTTGCCTTGCTCGTCGCTGCTACTTCTATTGCCGCCGGAGTCGCGGCTCGCATAGTCGCATCTCGCCTTGAGCAGAGGGCGGTCTAGTCACCTTGAGCAGCTCTGTCTGTGACCGGCTCCCGACTGGCCGCCTGGCCGGTGGTCGCCGACCACTGGCACCTGGCAGAGCGCGGACCCCGAAGGGTGGGGGCGTGCGGCATGTCGCGCCTAGGCGGAGGGCGGAGGAACCGAGGAAGCCAGGAAGGCAGGAGGAAGCCTGGGCGGAGGCCGGAGGGCGACAGCGCGAGTAGGGAACTGGGCGCGAGCGCAAGGTGCGTCGCGGCCGCATGGGGATGGGAGACAGGGTGGGACGCCGCTGCAGGGAAGACCTCGCTGGAGAAGACAAGGCGGCGGCGGTGTGTTATGGCAAAAATTAGTGCACAGCCGGAGAAAGTCATTTCCCTGATTCCCTCACCTTCTCTCTCCCCAAAACTAAGAAATGAATAAAATATTCAGCACGGTGTCAAATAACCATGAGTTGTAATAGTACTGGGCAAAGACTCGCCGATGCGGTGTGTGCCGGCCAATTACACTTTTTTGCGGTGTCCTCCAGCAAAATTTGCCTTAGAAATAGTATAGGATTCCTGATGTAAATTTGTCTTCTATATTTTAGGAGTGAACTGCTGGAACTGTTGGAGATGGTTTTATTTATTCCTTCTAATACTTTTTTGCGAGTTGGAAAACTCCATGGTTTTTTGGAAAGAAATTTGTTCACTCCCTGTGGGCAGCGTTTGGAGATGCTCTAATGTAACCTAGCGGTAGAGCGCATGTTTTAGTGGTTAACCTTCTATGTATTCTAGATTCGGACTTGTTAGCGCCCGAATGGTAGCCTCCGAACGCTGCCCACAGGGAGTGAACAAGCACCTAGTGCGTCGGGCTCACGAGGGAGCGCACCAGTAGTGGTCCTGCGCTGCTTTGGACGTCGCCCACACCGCCTCGAACATCGTCCGCGCCGCCTGCCACTTCCCACGTGCACCCCATGTGCAACACCTGATCTACTTTTGAAATATCTAGGTGCAACAATTGCAACATAGAAAAGAAAGACAGATAAAACACTTGAAACAAGCGTCTGAAACACTTGCGAAAATGCATGAAAAAACATTGCAAACATATGCAACATCCAGATGAAACACTTGCAAACATACGCATGAAACACCTGAAAACACTTGAAACATATGCTTGCAACATGCATGTATATGCAACATCTAGATCTACTTATGCAAGATCTAGACAAAACACTTGCAACATTAGTCTGGAACAATGAAAACATTTGGAACATACACTTAAAACATACGTGTATAGACATTACAACATGTGCAACATTCCAATCTACTTTTGCAACATCTATATACAACACTTGCAACATACCTTAGAAACATCTAAAACACTTGAAACATACTATTACAACATGTGCTTTCAGCGTAGCATATGTTTGCTGCTTGGATAGGCTCGTTGATGCGGAGCTCGATGCCGGCACGGAGCTCGAAGCCGCGGAGTGGCGTGGAGGTTGCCGGTGTGGAGCTCGTTGGCGGCACAAACCTCGGCAGGGACAGGGGCAAGTGGATGGAGCACGGCCACGACGAGGGGAGGCGCGAGTGCGGGAGTGAGCTAGCGAGTGGGGGCGGTGCGGGCGACGCGGAGCGTTTCGGTTCTAGATTTCCTTTTCTGTCACTTTAGGCCCGTTCTGTTGCTTCCTGAAAAATACTTGAGTTCCAAACAAAAAGAACTAAGGTGGTAATGCATAAAAGGATTATTGAGAACCACATTGTTGTAGCTTAACCTACAATCTAGTCCCATTGTCAAGTAGTACCATTACTTCATAATCATGGGGCACTCAGGAGATAAAGTCCATTGCGCATTGGATTGAGAAGGAAAGG